TTTTATGCTCTCTATCCTTTTCAGCTAGTCTATGTTTAAAGTATATCGTATTACATTATCAATTGCTGATCTCTGACATGAAAAAATACATCATTCAGCTCATTTCATTTACATTAAATTTCATATGGTCTTTTTTTTTGTTTCACAGAATTATTAAAATTGAAGAAAAATAAACTTTGTTTTGTAAGATTACTTTTCATAAGTCAAAATGACTGTATTACAGGATGTTTTATTTTGATTACCAACAAAATTTAATCAGAGGCTATGGTTAGATTATTTATAACTGGCACGCATCAATCAGTACCTTATAGAATATTTAAATCTAGCAAAATATTGAAGTTGCTATACAGTACGATAAGCTGTAATATAGTTCTTCTGTTTTTTAATCTTTATTCGCATTCTGTCAAGTAATGTGTCATATTTATCAAAGATAACGCTTATGAAAACAAAAGAAGGAAATGTCATCTTATAAAATAATTACAACAGACTTTCAAAAAAAAATTAAACTAAACATAAATATAGGTTGCATAAGCGAATTATGGCGCATTGAGCGGCTAGAAAATCAATTCAAAGACAAAATGAAAGAGATTAATAGTAATAATGAATAATCAATTAATTAAAATGATTGATGATTACAATCAACTTGCAGACAAAGAAAAAATTGAGATACATGAATTTCGTGAAAAGTTTTCTCTCTTCACTTGTGTATGATCTCTGTTAGAATATTAGTATTTTGCCAAACAATAAAAAATGTGTCATGCCAGTCGCAATCTTCTAAAGCACATTTCGATCCTTTTCCAATCCGATATTTTTTTTCAACATGCTTCTCTTCGACTTTTCTACAGCCAACTTTCTTGATTATTACATAGACTTGCTTGCTTCAGAAGTCCAAACCATATTTATAGATACTATCAAGTTTCTTTTTCGATTGTTTTGTACTATTTTGATAGACTGCATGAAACTACACTGATGATCAACACTTCACTTTTCATAGTGATATTATAGGTCAAACAATCTTTCTAATGTACTAAAAAATAAGTGTGTAACCGAATACTTTTTAATAATAGGCAATACTTGGTAATAATGTAATTATTTATGATGATTTTATTTTTATTTTCTAGAGAATCTTCACTTGTATATGCAGTAAACATTTGAACATTATTTATGGAACTATAGATGACATATAAGTTATAATACAATAGAAGGATCAATATTTGTTGATAGTAATTATTTCCCTAAAGTATTGATCTTGTTGCAAACAAGGGAAGTCTTCCAACTATTCAATCACTTTTGAAAGTTAGGTTCGTTAGTTTATTGCTACGAAGATACTGTACTTTTACGATAATTCTTAAATAAATGCCGGCGTCCCACCTCAGAAACACCAGAAAAACTAATTCGGATTTTGATTTGAAACTTCCCATACACACAGGCTTTAATGATGGTAGTTTATTATGGAAGTTTCAGGTCTTTTGATTAGCTTCTATTCTAAAATAATAATATCAAATCTGTTGGTGTATATAAGTGATGTAAACGATTCGCTATTTCCATAATTGTATCTTAGAATAGCAACAGTAACAAGATCTGAAACTTTTACAATAAACTGTTCTCTATCTTTTGGCAAAGTTTCAAGTCAAAAAATTCGAAAACTCAATTTTCCTGGTGTTCTTGAGAGAGACCACGGCATTTATTTCAGAATTATCGTAAAAGTACAGTATCTTCATAGCAATAAACTAAGGATACGAACTCTTTTCACGGTGCTCGTAGCTCATTTGGATGTATATAATGTATGTAGTCTCGGCTCAAAAGAGATTGAATACTTGAAGGACTTTCCTTGTAAGACTAAAAGTCTAAGTTTTGGTTTATTGATCTCATATCCTCAGGACACTCACAACAACAAAAATTAGCACAAGCTACATATTTGTAAATGATAATTCCTTTAAAAAAAGTAAAACTATCATTATTCAATTCACCATGATCATTCTTTTCAAACGGTTCCTTGTCCATCTCTTGCTCGTAAAATTCTATTTGTACGCGCATTGGAATTTCGTTGACGTGTATCTATATTATTCATTTTACAAGGAATTAATCGACGATGAATATTTTTAAGTCTTTCCATGAATAGTTTTCGAAAATATGCGCTACATAATGTATAAACATAAAATGATTTAGCATAATTCAAATAGAAGAATTGTGTTGTTAATTGAGAGAAAAATCTGTCCAATACATTTTGATAAGCTGTTTTCTCTGAACCACTTGTGATTACATAGTATGAATAATAAGACATTCGAGTAAAAATCAACAAACATGATAGACCAACTTGAAATAACGTCATCTATATGGTTAAATGCAAGTGCATATATCAAATGAACAAGATAGATATCAACTCACTTTAATAAATTGTGTTTCTAGACGTCGCAATCGTCTTTGTTGATTATTGATAGGGAGAACTCGGTGTCGTGTTGAGCGAATATGATATTGTGTACCAAAACCAAAGCAAAGCATAAGAAGATGTGGAATAAATAATGTCCATACTATACTAAATACTATTGTAAAGATACCATATACACCTTTTGGTAAACTACATATAAAGCTGAAGTCAGCAAAAATTATATAATGTATATATGATAAAATGCAAATGATCAAACAAAAACTAGCTATCCATTTGGCACATTTTATTGTAGCAAATGAGCGATAAATCTGTTTTTGTGAAGTTGACATAAAACGATCCATTGCTGCTAAAACAATAAAACATGTAGCAATTGCAGGTGAAACATTAACAATATAGGATCGTAATTTGCAATAAACTCGTGATTGAATCCGTACATCATATTCAAAATGATCATTAAGAAATCGTGTCAATGCCCCAAAATCAAGTGTGAGAAGATCAAATACAGCTCCACCAAGAAAATAAAGTGTACATGAAGTTTTTCTTAATTTAGGAGAAGTAAATGTGAAAAAATTACAGAAACATCCAATAGTTCCAATAGCAATAATAATAATTGGACAATAAAAATTAATTTTATCACCAAGATACATAAGTCGATAAAGATCTGGATTTAATTCCATTGTCATAAATCTATAAATA